AAACAACCTCAAGCCTGTGGCCTCGACTTCTCATCTGATGAAGACCATGGAAAGGCTCGTTCTGCACCACTTTTGTCCACTGGTGAGCTCAGCGATCGACCCCCTGCAGTTCACCTACCGATCTGGAATCAGGGTGGATGACGCTGTCATCTACCTTTTACACCGATCCCTCTCTCACCTAGAACAGTCTGGGAGCACTGTGAGGAAAATGTTTTTTGACTTCTCCAGGAGACTAAGGTCCTTTGGAGTCTGCAGGACTCTCTTAAGGACATCTATGATACCGTGGTAGCAACTGCCCTTTTCTATGCAATGGCCTGCTGGGGGAGCAGATGCACAGACAGGGACAGGAGCAGGTTTGACAAACTGGTGCGGAGCTCTAGCTCTGTGCTGGGACGTCCTCTGGAGTCTGTGGAGGCAGTGGGCAAGAGGAGGATATTAGTAACGCTGACATCCATCATGAACAACCCACATCACCCTCTGCATGAGTCTGTGTGCTGAGCAGCTCTTTTAGTCAGAGACTGAAACAGCCTCGCTGCAGGAAGGAGCGCTTTCGCAGATCATTCATCCCAACAGCAGTTAGACTCTATAACTCCTCAATCACAAAGTCATAAGTCACTGGACATTGTGGACATACACTGTCACACTTCATGCATAATGCATCTTTTTATATGTATGGACGTGTGCAGGTATACGTGTATGTATACATATGTATATTTAGTGTGTACATTCAATTCAATTCAATTCAATTCAATTTTATTTATATAGCGCCAAATCACAACAAAAGTCGCCTCAAGGCGCTTCATAGATACAGAGAAAAACCCAACAATCATATGACCCCCTATGAGCAAGCACTTTGGCGACAGTGGGAAGGAAAAACTCCCTTTTAACAGGAAGAAACCTCCGGCAGAACCAGGCTCAGGGAGGGGCGGCCATCTGCTGCGACCGGTTGGGGTGAGAGAAGGAAGACAGGATAAAAGACATGCTGTGGAAGAGAGACAGAGGTTAATAACAGATATGATTCAATGCAGAGAGGTCTGTTAATACATAGTGAGTGAGAAAGGTGACTGGAAAGGAAAAACTCAATGCATCATGGGAATCCCCCGGCAGCCTACTGTCTATTGCAGCATAACTAAGGGAGGATTCAGGGTCACCTGGTCCAGCCCTAACTATATGCTTTAGCAAAAAGGAAAGTTTTAAGCCTAATCTTGAAAAGTAGAGATAGTGTCTGTCTCCCGAATCCAAACTGGAAGCTGGTTCCACAGAAGAGGGGCCTGAAAACTGAAGGCTCTGCCTCCCATTCTACTTTTAAATACTCTAGGAACAACAAGTAGGCCTGCAGAGCGAGAGCGAAGTGCTCTAATAGGGTGATATGGTACTACAAGGTCATTAAGATAAGATGGGGCCTGATTATTTAAGACCTTGTATGTGAGGAGCAGGATTTTGAATTCAATTCTGGATTTAACAGGAAGCCAATGAAGGGAAGCCAAAACAGGAGAAATATGCTCTCTCTTTCTAGTCCCTGTCAGGACTCTTGCTGCAGCATTTTGGATTAGCTGAAGGCTTTTCAGTGAGTTTTTTGGACATCCTGATAATAATGAATTACAGTACACATGTGTGTGTATTGTGCATGTACATGTCTATACTTATAGATATCTATTACTTACATATTAATAGTAGCGGTAAAATAGTTAAATTTATGTCTTGCATGTTTCCACAACCATATCCATAATCCAGGCAGTATCTGTGCTATCTACACTGTGTCATAACTCATAGGTGTCAAACTCTTGGCCCGCAGCCTAATTACATTTGGCCCGCGAAGCCATACCAAATTACTATTAGAGCTGGCCTACTGGTATTATACAGCTAATATATATATTGTTTAGTATTAAGCTTTGCTTGTTCCATATTCAGTTTTTCAGCAAAACTTGTTTGAGTCCATAAGAAAAGATTCATTCTTATATCTGAGAATCTGAAGATTTTGTTTTTCAATAAATATTAACGTTAGCCCGCGACTTTGTTCCAGTTTTGAATTTTGGCCCACTGTGTATTTTAGTTTGACACCCCTGTTCTACAGCATCACTGAGACCATGAATCTCCTCCACAGAGTCCAGGCCAGGTTCACTCAGCCTCTCTATCCTGGTTTTTGGTTGTCAGCATTTGTTAGAGACACTGTTGAGTTGTGTAAGTTAAAGTAGACCGGAGTGATGACTGATCTGTGGTGAACAGTAAAATAATATATGCTGAGATGTGGCTGCACTGCTGAGGTCAAACTCTGTGGGTGAGAATTTAAAAAAAATTGAAAAATACTGCATTTATAAAAGCAGGTATACTTATAACATATGCAGATTTTATAAGAATAAAACTTGCATTAGAAAGTGTTTTGATTTATTCATTTAAATAAACCTATTAATTTCTCTGAACACAATCATCTCCAAAATGAATGTATTATAATGTAAGAAAATGTCATTATAAATGTCATTATAATTTATATATTCATTAATTTAATGTCTATATTTGTTGCTGGGTATTTCATATGCTGTGTATTCTTCTTGTATATATTATAAAGCTGTTTTAATGATATTACAAAATCACAGCAGTATTAAATGTAAATTTAAGCATGTTTAATTGAAGCATTCTGAATAATGACCAAATTTACTTTTGGTAGCTATAATGTTAACACTAATGCTTTCAATCTTTACAAATGCAGGATTTTTAATTGTTATAGAGTATATTTAGTGTAAAAGCTCAGGTTATCTTTTCTTCCACTGAGCAAAACAGTCCAGTTTTTTGTAACCTGCACAGCAGAAGAGCCACACCTGATGGTTGCATTTATTTCTGATAGATTTCCTATTGTCCTGTCCATGGCCATTTAAAATAAATCTTGGATTTGTTCCACTTTTATGATTCTCAATTTCTTTACTTTTATTTTAATATAACAAATAAGTAAAAGGTTACAAAAGTAAATAAAAGTAAACATTTCACCAGACAGTGTTACTTTCAGATTTATTACACAACTTGTTTAAACATTCCACAACAATCATGCAGGAATAAAATGGGAATTATACAAAGCTTTACACGCTTCTCCAATCACACTTCAGGAATAACTGGACTTCTGATCATTGTCTCAAAAACACTCAAAATGTGAGGTAATTTTTAAAAATCATTATCTACAGACGAAAGACCGTGTGTTGACTGAATGCCGAAGAGGGTGAAAGAAACAAAAACACTCATTATAGGGCAATGAAGTCAGCAATTAACTATACATAACTGTGCACTGCGTCAGCATTGAGTTCATTTGGAATATTAAAGTTTAAAATGCCAGGAATGTCAACAAATGCACCATCAATTCCTTATCCCTTATTTGATGTCCTCCTTAGAAGTAAAAAAAAATTACACATCAGAAATTATTAACATAACACCTTGTCCTTTTTTCTTTTGTACATCAATTCTACAAAAGAAATAAAAGCTACAGTAAAACAGACGCACAAAGAAAGTCAGGGCGCTCTGGGATCATTGGACATTTATCATTTCATTCCCTTAAATTCTTACCATTCAGAGAAAATCTGTAAAGGTGCAGAAAGTGTCTTACCTAAATTCTGACTTTGAAAGGTCAAATACTTGAGAGTCAACCATAAGCACCTCAGCCTCAGCATATATCTATACTTAAAAATATCAAAGCTTGAGATAATTAAGATAACGGTTGTTATAATTACCTTCTGTTCTTTTAACGCCTGTAACACAAAAAGCTTCCTGTCTTTTTTTAAGAGCTGAAACATGTTTTGGGGGTTTTCCTTAGTTGCATACACTATACACACTATATGGACAAACGTATTGAGCCACAACTTTCAGTCTTTCAGTCTCATTGCCACAGGTGTGTAAAATCAAGCACCTACCCACACAGTCTGCCTTTTGTGAAAGAATGAGTCATTCTGAAGAGCTCACATTCAAGCGTAGTGCTGCGGTACCTCTGCAACAAGTCAGTTTTCATGCTAGATATATTCAACAATCAGCTGTAAGTGGTTTTATTGCAAAGTGGAAGTGTTTAGGAACCACAGCAACTCAGTCATGAAGTAGTAAGAGCAGAGGAGGCATAGTGTTTAACAGTCAGCAACGCTCTGCTGACTCTGCCGTGCTCCAAAGCTCCTCTAGCATTAACATCCTGAGTTCAATTCCACCATCAGGCCGGGGTCTTTCTGTGTGGAGTTTGCATGTTCGCCCCGTGTTTGCGTGGGTTCTCTCCGGGTACTCCGGCTTCCTCCCACTGTCCAAAGACATGCAGCTTGTGGGGATAGGTTAATTGGTTAATCCAAATTGCCCATAGTGTGAATGTGCAAGTGAATGTGAGTGCTTGTAAGTCCGCACAGTAGGATGGTTTGTGTGTGCTCTGTGTTCTCTCTGATTTTCCTTCCAATGATGTGTAGGTTGTTTCTCCTGCGCAACCTACCATACTCTGCCGCAAATTCTCACATGCCAGATTTTTTTTTTTCGATTTTAAACAGTGTGTTACCCTTCTTTTATATTGCTCTATTACCATAAACTTAAATATAAAGGCACGGCAAATTATGTGAAAGAAGCATAGCTAAAAGATCTATTCAATAAAAAATTTAGAATTTTTCCTTGATGTAGAACTTGTGGTTTATATATCCTTTACATCAGTATCTTTTTCAAAAGAGGTTTTATCTTGTGTTACCAGTGTAGATAACCTTTTGTCGGAATGGAAATACTTTGGTTATCAACTAGGATGGACTTTAAAACCAATTATAGCGTCGTAGAGTTAGTGTGTAATCCAGAAAACTATCCAGATCGTGTGTCTGTGATGAACAAATTAATTTTCTAGCTAGTTTTAGCTGGTGTTTAGCTAAATAATGATGAGACAAGACTGAGCAAGATGTAAAAGTTCTATTGGATCTGCTTTAAATAATGTAGACACCAAGAACTAACTCGTGGTAAGTGATGTGCCACTGACACCAAATAAAGAAATGTAACCTAGATGTTGTGTGTTTAGTGTGTGTGTGTGTGTGTGTGTGTGTGTGTGTGTGTGTGTTCACTTTTTCAGTAAGTTGCAGATGTTATAAGAACAGAAGCTACCCAGAAGATTGAAGAGCAGTAACAAAAAGCCATATGTCACAGCTTTTACTAAAAGGTGACTTACACATGTTATAAGCAACCTTAACATGTCTTCAAATCTCCCTTTAAGTCACTGCGAGCAAACTTCACAATAGCCATTGTGTATGCTCTTATTTATGCTTTTCCTGCTGTGTCATATATCAAAATGTCTGCTGTGGGAAAAGCTCCCCAGTTTTGTTGATCCTATCAGGGTTAGAAACAAATAATAACAATTTAATAAACACTTTAGCCACAAATACTGTGTGAAAAAAAAGGTCAGATCATGAGAAAAACAGGCACCATATCCACCATAATCTCAATGGAAAATATCAGGTAAATATCAAACATGACTATATAAGAATTATGGATAAAAAGAAGTCTAATTTTGAAGCATATAAATAGAAAACAATGAAAAGTAAAGTTTGTATTATCAACGTGTACTACTTTACAGTGTGCTCATTAAACACATACTCTCCCAGATGTAACAATGTAACGATGAAGCCAAACAATCATATTTTATGGGTTAGTGGTTTGTTTGTTTTTTAACTTCCATTTCCATTTTCATGCGCCGGCTGTTTTGTGAGGTTGTTCGAGTATTTTTAGATCAAGTCAGATGAGATCATATTCTTTGGTAAAAGGAGGGTGAAGAGGATGTTTGTATGAATTACCTCTGATAACACTACGCACGTCAACAAACCAATGATAAAAGGCCTTATACACAAGTTTAAAAATACAATGATAAAAAGTGATAGTATCAAAGTTTCCACAGTACAATACATACAACAGATTATTGCACCAAATGTAACTATTTTAAATGTTATCATAGCAGAGCGACTTAGTGACACTGTTTCACTTTCTCCACTCTCTGGATTTAAATCCACCCATAAATGAATAATACAATTAAAAAGCGAAGGGAGCGAAGAGGGAACGTTTTAAAGACCAAAAATTATTATTTGCTGAATGATTAAGTAAAAAAAATTATAGTGGCAAGTAGTTACATAGCCAATCGGTCATTTTGTATCAAAATTCTCATTAACTATATGTGTATTACACATGTTGTAAAGTCACAAATATTAAACCAATAAAGCTTTGTGCATCTTACATTTACACTAAACTGGCATTTCAGAAAACATCGTTTTCACCTACGGTCGGCTTCAAGTGCGTTACAGGGTTATGGTAATATATCTAAAAATGCACAATAAATACTAACCTTAAACAATAAGCATGATTGGACTTTGTCATCACTTAAAAAATAATGAGCTGCTTAAACTTTTCCTTTAGGAAAGTTACATTTTAAGTGATGATTTTAAGTGATGATGCTGTGAGACTCACAGCAGTGATGGTGTGATCACCAAATGTTGCTATCAGCTCGTCTTTCCTCTGGAGGAACAGCGCCCTCTCTCTGCAGATTTCCCACTAAAACCTAGAGGCCTGTGGCGGGAGAAAGCCTTATTAGATGGTCTCATTTGTTTACTTTCAGCATTTTGTCCATACACTGCCTGGCCAAAAAAACAAATTTTACAAAGCAAAAAAAAAAGAAAAATTTTCATCCATCATTTTTCATCCAAGAATGTTGGAAGGGTCAAATTATTGGCCTCTTTCAGGCAAAGAAAACAACTAAAGAGACTGATAAACTACTAAAACCAGGTAGGGGCTTTCCAAGTTCTCATTACAATAAGGCAGTAAGAACAGAGTAAAAAGAACAGGACTAAACAAAACCACTTGTCAATGAAAAGGGTAGAAAAGGGTTCAATTTCGTAGGAAGTATAAAGATTGGACTCAGCAGTGGAAAAATTGCCAGATTTAACCCTTTAACGCCTATTGTTTCATATTACATACATTCAGTTTTTTGTGAGTTATATCATCAGTGTGATTTTTTTTTTCCCAATAACAAACCTAAAAAATGCATTTTTAAGTATTTTCTTTGAAGCCAGATGTAACAAACACAATATAAATTAAAGGTCATATATAGAAATTAAAATGTAATTCATTTTTCAAACAAATTTGCTAGATAGTTCAATAAACTCTCCATTTTCAAAAAATTCAAAGAACTTTCTAGCAATTATTTCATATTTCAGGCTTTCATAACCCTGCAGGAGCATTCAACTGTGTATGTACAAAAACGTGGTGACGCTGCATGAGCTTATCGAAACAATGCCATGGTGAATGCAAGCTGTCATCAAAGCTAAAAAGGCAGTGCAAGATATTATTAGATTTTTTTTGACAGGCAGTGTATTTTCTGATCTGTGAGCAAGGATGCCAATAAGACTTTTGAGTCTTTAGCTGGGTAAAAGTGTTTAACTTTTAAAAGTCATATCATTCGAATTACATTCAGCAACACATTCATAGCAGATGAGATTCTGAATATCTGTGAATCTGTTCACTATCTTGGGACAAATGTAACACTGACGCAAGTTTTCATTATTTTACACCAACGAATGGACCCTGTGGTTTGACACAAAACAAGAACACAATAATAGGTAACAGATTTTCCTCTACAATGTGAGCCTTTTAGAATAAAGCAGTGTACCCTTTCTCTTACTTTATACTGACATCTACACACTAAAAACAGTCACACGGGTTTACATTTTGCCGTAGGAGTGATAAATGCAAAGCTAAAAATGAAGCTTTTAGATCAATATAAGGACATTTAAGCTGCGTTTCAAACACAAGTGCCTCCTAAAAACGAAACAAAACATGTCTAAAAGTTGTTCCAGAGCAGGAACAGTGAGGAAGGTCATATTTTTAAATGGGCATGTTGCTTTTTTAAGACATTAAGTTTGTCGTTCTTGTAAAAGTAAGCTGTGTAGAAAAAGAGCGCATTTTAAAAAATGATTATTTTGGTATTTGTGCTGAAATTTGCAAAAGAATAGCAGACAAAAGCAGAGAGTGGAGAAACAAGTCCCACCACAAATAAGCCAGCAGGTTGCTGGGACTAGCTAGTGGCTGTGAAGAGTGATCAAATACAAAAACACCATCCATCCAAATGTCTACAGCTTCTCTGTGCCGAATATGTAACAAAAAAGGCAACCACAGTCCACATTAGCCAATTTGTAGCAAGTCATCAGAGACCAAGAGTGTTGCTGTGAAGGTGTGTACATTTTTTTAAAGTTTTATACTTTTAGTTTTAAAAAAATACAAACAAAACCTTAGCTGAATAACAACGATCTGCATGTTGAGTCAGTGGTTTTGCATGCAAATAATATGTAGATATTTTGCAATGTGACATTTAGAGAATAAAATCTGTTTTTAGGAGGAATTCCTTTTTTGTGTTACATGAGGAGCTGAGTGGAACTGGATCGGTCAGATTTTAGTTCTTGGATGCTGGATAAATATTTAGATTTCTACTTTTGAAGTGCCACTGAGCAAACCACTAGACTACCAACCTTTCCTCTATAACTATATTTCTTTACTTCCTATCAACCTGCCTGTTTTTCATGACGGCAGCTCATTTAAATTACAAGCTGTAGTTCAGCAATAATGTCCTTGTTTACATCAAACAAGATTTTGAATTGTTTCCATTAGAGGTTTCCTCGATTATTTAAAAATAAATTATCAACATCACATCATACATTATTGTGTAGCTGTTCTTATTCTATGCTTTTGCATGGCTATGGTTACGCACTCTCTTGCGACCTCCATTTATTTGGAGATTTAATTAAATTGCCTCAAAAGAAATTATGCAATAGACAACGGTGTAGGTGAACTTGCAAAATTGCAATAATATTGTCGTTATCGGCAATAATCGTGAAGAGAAAATCTGACAGGACAGTCCAAGTTTCCAACATTTGTTGGCGTTAAAATGCTACATGTAACACTCTAAGACTTAACTACCACAGTAGCTGCTGGATAAAAGTCTCTTGTTCAATGAATATCTGGTATTTTTTTCTCCCCAGAAAACAGATACAGCAATGTGTACACTGTGTAGTGAAACCTTTCGCACACTATAGATCTCTAGCACTGAAAAACAGTAATTTTATCAGGTGGCAGGCACACAAAAGACACAAACACGAATAATAGAAAAATCCTCCTCTCTCTCTGCCTCACAGCAGACTAGGAAAGTTTGCAATCACCCTCAATATGTGGCAGGAAACCTGTGCGTGTCTGTCTGTTATTCCAGAGACGAAGGGTGAAGTAGAAACGGGGTACAGGCTTTACTCATTAGCGGGCTTCTCTTTGCAGGAAGGTTCACAGAGGATTTCTTTGTGTGGTAGTGGATAGGGGAAAGCTGCTCCGCTGCAAGTGCTACTGTGAACCAGTTTGTTGAGGCGAGAGAGGCCCTTGATGCTGCCAGGAGGCCTCCCGGGGCTGACCTTATACCCCGCCGCTCTGGTCGTACCGAGCGGCCTTCCAGGACTCGTCTTGAACCCGGCAGCTCTGGTGGTGCCGAGTGGTCGCCCTGTGCTGGTTCTATAACCAGCTAGCTTGGTGGTTCCCAAAGGCCTCCCACGTCTGCCCGTCTTCCCGACAGACTTGTTCTTCTTCTTGGCATCATCTGTTGCTTGATTGGTGTTTTTTAACCCTGCTAGCTTTCCAGACGAGCGGGGGTCACCCCCAAGAACTTCCTGTCTCTGGCACACCATGGGCTTGTGGCTCTGGGTGGGTAAGGCCATGGGAGCCAGTGTCATCTGGAGGGATGATGGAGGGGGAGGAGGGTAGAACTTGCTGGCCTGTGAGGTGCACAGGTCAAAGTGAGCAGTGGGGTGGTGGCTGTCCTCTGCTAGGCACGACGGCCTGCTGTTCATGCAGAAGTCACTGGTTGTCACCTGGCGCATCATCTTCTGTTGGGGGTTGGAAATAATGCATCATCACTCAAACATCAGGACTAATGTTTTCTGGATAGTGCCATGTCAGGTTAAAGTTAAAAAGCAACTCTACAGTTGAAACTGATCATACCCATATTTGCATGAAGACAAGAAACATGGGAACACTAAGACTTCAGTGAAATATTCTGAAAGCATCATCTGGTCTAATCCAGATCTACACACGGTGGATCTAATCCACCCAACAGATTATTCTCATAAGAAAGGTCAAGAAAGGGTGCTGCTTATTTCTGAAGTGAGCTTCACGTTTGTGCTGCAGGTCAAAGTTCAAATTTAGTGTCAGCGCTAAATATTAAGGGCTCATTACTGCCACGCTGAGAGTAGAAGGCTGAAAGCATCCACTATGACCAAGGGGCAACAATGACCACATTGCACACTGAAAGGGGAAACTTCAAAGTGCATGAAGGTGGGAGACGATGCTATATCTGAAACATTTTAACAGAAGAAAGGACTTGAGGATTGTTTTGCTCTGCAGAGAAGGAGCAGCAGCATACTGTAATGTGGCTGTGTGCTGAAGTCGAGGTTATTACAGCAAACAAACTACACAATAACAGTTGTCTCATGGTGTTTGTACTATAAGATAAAGACCCAACAATCAGACCTCAAATAAAACGTAGACTCAAAAAGAAAGGCAAACTAACAGAAACAATAATGGACTTACAAAAGTAACTATAATCCACAATATTGAGTAAATATGCTTAGTCTTAGTTAACTTGCACTACTTCTAAGCACTTTGTTCTCCAATTTCTCTTGTCTCTTATTTATTCCTGCTGTCTTACTCTTTACATTTTGTTCCTGCACAGTTGGCATGGAGGACTTATAACTTAGTTCTACATGTACAGTGACAATAAAGGGCTATTTTATTTATTTTCAGCCTGAGGAGGCATTGGTTAATCTGTTGGGTTGTTTGTTTGTTTTTTTATTATAATGACTGTGAGTCAACTGCCTTCACACAGTGTTGTCCTTGTTTTATAATACCAGCTTTGAACTTCCTAATCTGCCTTTAATAATAATTAGCACGGAAACATACAAAACTAAACTAAAAGTAAACAAGAAAAACAAGAAAATCCACTCTGAAACTAAACAGAATTAAAACCAAATTAGACATTTGGATTCACACCCTTCATGTAACAACAACTACCCCTAAAAGTTAAAAAACATTATTGTTATTATTATTACTACTACTACCTATATAACCAGACAAATATCCTTCATATAACAAACAAAAACAAGTGCTGAAACTATTAAAATAAACAAGAAAATCCCCTGAAACTAAACAGAATTAAAAGTAACTTATTAGAAATATTGAAATAACAATAAAAAATACAAAAACTATAGATCTCGATGAAAAATGCTTTGTTTAGAAACTCAAGTTCACATCTAGTTCGCTTGTTTACACGCAGACTTTCTCGTGTTAACTCGACCATGAAAAGCTGTTTCATAATTTAACAAACAGCATATGATTATATACGTCCCATAAACAGCTTCGACCTTAAGAATAAGGATAGACCTCACCAAAGTGGTGCTGAAGTGCCTTAGCGCAAGACCTCTCCTCTCGCCGGTCATAAAACCGCGTTAGACTGAATGCATTTGGCTGCTTTGCACACTTTAATTACAGTAATGAAGAGTGTAAATGGAGTGAAGTAAAGAGTGCACACAGCTGCTATCGCCTTTTCTGCAGAGGAAACGGGACGCAGGGAGGTGTGGACTTTCACCATCACACACGCTACACTGTCAGTAGTAATATCCATTCACAAAAAACAAAATGCACATGGATTCCGCATCTTTGCATTCAGACAAAACCTCCAGCTCTCCGTTAACGAGCAGCACCGAGGGCTGAACGTAGCCTCGTTCCTGGCCCGAATAACGGGCTTTTTTTTTTTTTAAGAGACAGAGACTGGTTTACTCTGTTTACAACATGGCAGCTGACCGCGGACAGAGCTGATTTATGTGCTCGCATTTGAGCCGCATAACGAATCTAAATGCCCCTCCGGAGACCCGCGTTAGCGCTAACGTTACTGTACCTCGATTGTTCGCAGATCTCGGAGCAGAAAGGGTTAAGGAGCAAAATGATCTTTCATCCCCCTCAAAGCGCGAGTCGATCCATTTTCCAGAATATTTTCTCGCCACAGGACATCGGTTCGCTAACACACGATCACCGCATCGGGTGGTTTCGACGCGAGCGACGGTGAGAGGTGAGATGTGGTCAGCTAGACGGCTCCTTTTTTCATCTCCCAGCTCCAGCGGTTTGGATAAGAAACGCAGCCATTTTCCATTAAAAATTAATAAGACAGCAGCGCAGTCTGAGCATGCGCACAACAGCAAACTGGGGATGTGAAGAGGTTATTCTCCTTCCCCTCCTCCTGAACTGCTTTCACGACCGAAAACGCTTTTTTTTTGTCTCTCAAGTCCTGAAAATTCTAATTTTCACCAAACAAGCGAGAGTAAAGGCTCAAAAAACGACTTTATTTTTCAGATTATTATCCTGAAACCGAGCCATAAAGCAGTTTTAATGCTCACCAAGCATCACTTCCCACCACTGATGAATAATATACAAAGAACTGCTATTAAATAATTAACATTAGCAGTCTGAACAAATACGAAGCACCTTAACAGACTGGAAACAAGTTTATTTTCTTAGCAACATTGTTTTCTTGGGATCTTTCATAAAGATGATGGTTGGTGTGGTGTTCCTACATAAATGTGACTAAAAACATCTTATTAATGAAACCAGGTCTTATACTTAAAGACATATTGTGGATAGTTCACTGCAGCATTGTGCTGGTTTGATGGTATAAAAATCATTGGAC